GAAGAAGGGTCCAGACCCGAAATGTCAGCTTTCCTGCTCCTCTGATGGTGCCTGGCCTGCTGTGTTCCTCCAGCTCCACACCTTGTTCCCTCAGTGCCAGCACTGACTTGCAAAGGATGGTGCCTATTTATACTTTTTACAAAATTTCAATCAGAACTACATGCAGTACTCTCAATTGTGGTCTAACCAAATTTTGATAAGGCTTTAGATTAATTACCCCACTTTTCAATTCTATCCCTCCAGGAATAAAGCCTAGTGCTTGGTTGGCTTTATTCTGATGGCCTTGCTAACCTGTGAAACAACTTTTAAAGACTGGTGTAATTTTACTCAATGATCCCGTCAATCCTCTACTCCACCTGGTCTTGCATCTGCCAAGTAATAAGTAAGCTTCTCATACTTCCTACCAAAATGTAACGCCTCACATTTATCAGTGTTGAACTTAGTTTGCCAATTATTTACTCCTTTAACAAGTTTATTCATGTCCTCCCGTGTTTAAATGCAGTACTCCTCAGTAATGTCTATTCACCATCTGCAAATTTAGCCACAATGGGCTGAATCTTACTTTTTTTGGCTGAGTGTGAGTTGTGTGAAGTTTTTGGACAGTTTCTCACTGTGTGACCTAGTGAGCTTTCCTGAGTTTTCATACCAAACTTGCCTCATTAGCTATTAACATTTACCATAAGCTAACAGTTCTGAAGAAGTATCATGCTCAATTTGAAACATTAACTCTGTTCACTTTCCACAGTGGATTTCTCCAGCATTATCTGTGTTTGCCTCATTAACTACCTACCCCATGCTGTTGGTGTCTGTCACGTCTACTTGCAGCCCCATCTTACCACACGCTGTTCTGGGAACAACTTGCTACTGCCAGGATAACACAGAATTAGTGCCATCTTTAAAGGCTAGTTGTGCACCCACACAAGCACTGTCAGTCCAGAGCTCTCCAGCATGTTTCCTGATGCTTATCCTGGACATGGCAGACAGGAGGAAATCTGCAACTGGCAAAGGGGTCCTGCTGAACTGGACAGTACAGAGGCATGACTTTGTCCTGCCCCAGGGTCAGCAATGGAGGCTGTGGCACAAGAATATGCCAGCCTAGAATTTAAATTTGCAAATAATCCCCTTGCATCTTTGTACTCTCATTAAGACTTAAGTTAGAGCATATTGTGATCACTGAAAATAATTTTAGGTTTTTCTACCATGTCATATATCAGAGATTCCCATGTTATCAGGTGTCAGCCTTGATTAAATTTTAGCACTCTGAGCCAGAAGATTATGGGTTCATACCTATGCAATACTTGAGTACAAAGAGCAGGCTGATATTTCTGAAAGACTGGTGGAGTATTTGAAATGCTAATTTTAGGATGGATTGTTAACCTCACTGCCTTCTCAAGAGAATATAGAAGATCCCAAGGCACAATTCAACAAGAAGTGAGTTCCCCTTGCACCCTGTCCAACAGTTATCCCCCGCCCACACATAAAACAATAAATGATTGCATTATTCTTTGAACTTATGAGCAAGATGACTGCTGTCTTTCTTATATGTTACAACAGTGAATAGGCTTCAAAACTAGAGATCATGAAAAGTACTATGGAAATTCAGGTTTTCTTTTATTTCTTACTAGTCCTCTCACAAATCGAAAATAACAATTCAGATCTTTACAATCACTATTTCATTTCAGAAACTACTAGATCAGAGAATTCAAAACTGCTTGCAAATGTATTGGATCAATCTTTAAAAGGACAATGATATCTGAATACAAGTAGTGCAAACCAGAGTATGATATCATAATATGCTCTGGCAATTATTCTTGTTGCTGCTTCTACTTGACTGCAAATCTACTGACATTGAAAAGGCAGTTGACAAAAACTGTAAGGTTCAATCAGGGCAGTCTTTTTAAATAAAAGGGTTTGTCAAAATTGCCATTACCTTGAACAACAAGGTTTTCGTTCTTGGTGCTCAACAATAATCTATTGCTGTTAATGCTTTTGATAGGTACTGATGAAAAAGGAATGTCTACTTTCTCGATCTGTAAAACAAATTACAATTGTATCAATACAATATCCTTGCAAAAATTTAATTGCTTTTAAAATATATTAACTGAGACTTTAGCTATTGGACATCGCATTAAAATAAAACAGAAAATGTATGTATTCACAGAAGCTCCAAGTATTAAAATATTAAACAAAAACAGAAATTGCTGGAAAAATGCAGCAGGTCTGGCAGCATTTGTGGAGAGAAAGCAGAGTCAATGTTTTGGGTCCAGTCACCCTTCATTAGAATTGAAAATAATATTAAAATAATAAAGTTTGGTAGCATTAGCCTGATATTTTTGTATTTTAATTTTTTAAATTCTCTTTAGGACAGTGGTCTGCTATCCATCATTCCTCTCATTTGCAGAGTGTGGCTGGTTGCAGAAAATTAACCAACAAATAAAAGGTACAAAAGTTACCATTAACTCTCTTGGCAATATAGAAGTCATCTCATCTCCAACTATCAATGTGACCAGAGAATCCATTCTTGATTAGAAAATTGAATCTGGATTTTTTGTGGGGTTATGTTCTTGAAAGATATCAGTGGTGGAATGCTGTAGAGTGGAACTTCCATCCACTAATGTCTACAAGCACTAATCCCTCAATAGTTTTCACAGTCAGCTTTCTTTAAGTAATGGCTATACTTAGTAATCAATCTCATATTCCAGGTCAAAAAGCTGTGTTCAATAGGCTGAATGCATAAGCTATGTTGACACGTCCTACAGTAGTGGAGTGCTGCATTATTGAAAGAAGATAGTTTTGGATCAGATGTAAACCAAGACTTTATCTGCCTAGTCAGAAAAGGTGTCATAGGTCAGTTAGCTCAACTGGCTGGACAGCTGGCTTGCAATGCACAGTGATGCCAATAATGCAATTTCAAATTCTGTACTGGCTGAAGTTACCATGAAGGACTCTCTTTCTCAGCCTATCCCATCACCTGAGGCATGGTGACCCTCAGGTTAAACCGCCACCAGTCAACTCTCTCCAATGAGAGAGCAGGACTATTATGACGTTACCTTTGACTCAGTGTCAATAGGGGAGGAAATAAACATTTGTTGATGAAGTGTCAATCGAGTGGCTGCTTTGTCCTGGATGGTGTCCAGCTTCTCAAGTGTTGTTGGAGCTGCACCCATCCAAGCAATTGAGGAGTATTACAACATACTCCTGACACATGTCTTGGACAGGCTACGGGAAATCAGGATGTGACTTACTCGCTGCAGGATTCCTAGCTTCTGGCCTGTTCTTGTAATTTTGTAGACATAGTATTTAAATGGCTTGTCCAATTCAGTTTCTGGTCAATGGTCACTCCCAGGATGTTGATAGTCAGGAAGTCAGTGATCGGAATTCCACTTGTTGGAAATGGCCATTCCCTGTGGTGCGAATGTTACTTGCCACTTGTCAGCTTTGTATTGTCAGTATTGTCCAGATTTTACTGCATTTGGACATGGACCACTCAGTATCTAAGCACATGTGAATGGTGCTGAACATTGCGCAAACATCAGCAAATATTCCCATGTCTGACCTTATGATGGAGGGAAGCTCATTAATGCAGCAACTGAAGATGTTTGCACCTTAGGACACTGTCCTGAGGAACTCCTGCACAGGTATGCTTGAGCTGAGATGACTGATCAACAACCATAATGATCTTCCTTCGTGTCAGGTATGACTCAAGCCACTATAGAGTTTGCCCTCTGATTCCCATTGACTTCAGTTTTGCTAGGGCTCCTTGATGTCACACTTGGTCAAATGCTGCCTTGATGCTAAGGGCTGTCACTCTCACCTTACCTCTGGAATTAGATCTCTAACCCATTTTCAACCAAACTGTAATAAAGTCAGGAACTGAATGGCCCTGGTGCAACCTGAACTGAGCATCAGTGAGCAGGTTATTGCTAAGCAAGTGCTGCTTGATAGCACTGTTGATGACACCTTCCCATCAATTTGTTGACAATCAAGATTTGGTTGATTGGACAGTAATTGGCTGGGTAGGATTCATCCTGCTTTTTGTGTACAGGAGACACCCATACAATTTTCCACATTGTTGGTTTGATGCCAGTGTTGTAACTGTTCTGGAACAGCTTGGCTAGGAGCGTGGGAGTTTTCTGTACTGTTGTTAGAATGTTCACCAAGACCCATAGACTTTGTGGTGTCTGGTAACTCAAACTATTTGTTCCTGTCATGTGGAATGAATCAAACTGGCTGAAGACTGGCATCTATGATACTGGGCATCTCTCGAGAAAACGGAGATGGATTATCCACTCAGCACTTCTGGCTCAAGGTAGTTTTGAATGCTTCAGCTTTATCTTTTGCACTGATGTTATTGACAATGGGGATGTTTGCAGAGCCTCCTCCTCCAGCAACTTGTTTAATTGTTCACTATCATTCACAATTGGAAAGGGACAGGTCTTCAGGGCTTAGACCTGATCTGTAGGTTGTGGAATTGCTTAGCTCTATCACTTATTGCTTACGCTATTTGACATGTAAATAGTCCTGTTTTATAGCTTCACTGAGCTGATACCTCATTTTTAGGTATACTTGGTGATCCTCCTGACATGCCCTCCTGTACTCTTTATTTAACCAGGGTTGATAGTAATGGTAGGAATATGCAGGGCCATGAGCTTGCAGATTGTGTAGGAGTAGATTTCAGCTGCTGCTGATAACTCATAATGCCTCATGGATGTCAGCTTTGAGTTGCAACATCTGTTCTAAGTTGATCCCCTTATAGCACAGTGATAATACCACACAACAGGATTCACAATGGTCATTGTTGTAAAAACCCAACTGGTCCACTACTGTCCTTGAGGGAAGTAAATCTGTCATCCACAGTGGATCTGGGCTGCACATCACTTTAGAATCTCAGCAATGTGTGTGCCTTTTAATTACTCTCTGTTCAAGGGCAATGAGAGGAGAGATGAACTACAAATGGGGGCCTTGCCACTGATGTGTACATTCTATGAAAGAAATTTAAAAATATACAGGTCTTTGGGACATTAGGATAGTTAATTTTAGTTTTGAAATTAGGTAAATAGTATAAGTAGATATAAACAATATTTAACCATAACTGACTTATCCACAACAGCAATTCTGACAAATTGTTCTTTTGAGATGTTCTGGACTTTTGAATGTATCTTGATTAGCTAAAGGATATAAATGATTGAGCTGGTGTACTGTGTACACTAGCAAAGGGCTTAAAAGCCGTGGCCATAATTTAGTAGGATTCCTGTATTAAAGCTTTTTTCCAAAAAAAAACAGTAATTCTATTTATACTTTTAATCTAAATATCAAATTGCCAGCAATAAAGAACGTTAAGCACCAGCCTTCATTCCTCCTTCTGAAAAATGCAAATTGCTGGGAAGCCACAATATTGGTTCACACTATCCATGGCATTAACCATGGCAAATTCCTCAATGTCAATAGAATACAAAACATCCACAGACCTGTCAGTACACTATCCCAGAAGTTCACCAGGAATGTACTGGAAGTGAGGGAAAGATGCGATATTTCAGTTCTCAGCCTAATGTATTGGTTTCTCGTCAGAGCCTCTGACCACCACAAACAAAACCATCCATGCAAGTAGTGGCAGGATCTTGAGGCGAGACTCATTGTCAGGGGATTCCATGCTCCCATTCCTAGAATGGAGTTTGCATAGGGTCACTGGAGGTACAGCTAATATCACCAGATGTACCATTCCATCAACTGACTGTTCGGAAAAAGAATCATATTGAACTTAAAACATGAACTCTCTTTCTCTCTCCATTGATGCTGGCAGACCTGTTGTTTTCCTCCAGCACTTTCTCTTTTTATTTTATGACTGAAGTGGAGGTTCCTTGTGGTTTGAGCCATGAAGTACAGTCAAGTTGACACAAGGATGAAGGGAATACCTATTGGTCATACAAATAAATGTGAATCTTCCTTATCAATGGGTTGTTAGGGCCATTGAATACTTGCTTCAAGAGAAGGAACGTCCTTCCAAAATCACAAATATTTTTAATATGATACATGTTAGACAAGTACATGGATGCATCCCTCATAGTGCAGGTGCTTACCAGCAGGATTAAAACCAAGATCTTATATTTCCAAATAATAAGCAACATCCCCTGACCCCACAGCTCTACAGGGGAATATCGATGGAGGTCTGAATCTAATGCTTTTCAGCAGACATGCGATGTGTTCCTTTCAGAATTTTAGCCCATCAAGTTCAACATCTATTAACACTCTTAGGTAGGTCTTTCCAGCAAAATATTGCAGTGAATAACTGGCAGGCTGGGTTTAAACTTTTTTTCCAGAAATAATGAACAGAGATTTGGATGGACTTGTTTATAGTATTATACTGAGAAAAATTGCTCTTGTGATATTCCTGGGGTGTGACAGTAGCAGACAAATACATGGTTGTGTCGTCAAGATCTTTTAGACCATCCATTCACCTTCAGCGTAGATTTAATCCTCATCACCCTGCACTTCCAGCTCATGTACCCCGTAGCATGACTGAGCCAAAATGTGTAAATATACGGTCGTGTATTCTAGCAAAACTAAAGGCTTTAAAAGTAAACTAGAATGTCTTCCGAAGTTTTAAATGATCCTCTAATTAGTGAGGAGTATTTTTTAACTACATTGAATTAATACCAATACTTTGAGTTATTCCTCTTACCTTTGTATAATATATTGTTTCTTTGTTGTTGCCGTGGTTTTCATCGACAGTGTAAATTGATACAATGCTTTGTTTAGGTAATTGGTGATATTTTACAGTATCAGATGTTACCACGGTAATACACTCTTTCTTTTGCATACAGGACTCTTTTATTCGAACTTTCTCAATGCTTGCAGCAAAAGCAATTTCAGCGTTAGTTGCTTTGTAAGCTGAGGATTCTTGTATTCTCCGGCCATATTTTGCGAAAGGAATATCAGAGTGGTTCAAATTGGATATACACTTTGTAGAGCCTGAATAGTACTGGTGTAGTCCTTTTTTGTAGCTAAATCTATCATTTCCATTCCTGCTGTTCAAACTTGGTGTGTGTGTAAAGTGCTCACTAGACAACTCTGGCATTGATGCAGTCCGGGAAGCTGGTGGAGCTGCTCTTTTACAGTTCCCCATGAATTTTCGCTGCGCATTTTGAATCTGGTATGCCATGTTTTCCAATCTATTGTTTCCCATAAATTGCGTGGAAGGCAAAACCTTTACCTGTGACATCATAATTTCCCAATAGTTGCCTGCGTACTTCTCATTTGTGTCAGTTGTAAGTGCTTGTTGAAAACATAGTTCCATTGTCCTATATTCATCAGCAAACTGTCAGTATTTCTCAGCTATCACAATACCAGTGCAGAATTCCAGTTTCTGCTTTTTGATGACCTGATCAGGAAGTAAAGTCCTTCCAGCTGGAAATCCAGCTCACATACTTCAATCGGCAACGGAACAGCAGTATTCAAAGAACCTGAGAAACATGAAAAACACACAACAATGCATTATCAATAAATGTTCATCATGTTAAAATTATCAAATCTAGAAAAGATGGACATTACAAAGGTTTATTTTCTGATAAATCAACAACGTAGCTGTCTAATACAAACACATACCTCCATTTCCCTTGCCATTTGTATTTTTGTTTCCGGTTGTATGAAAAGGAGATGATCCAAATAAATGTTTTATAATGTGCAGAAACTTTGTAACTCAACCTGCCTGCTCACTTCAGGATAGGTTACACTTTGTAAGCTTTATAGCTTTGCTAAGCCTTTTTAAGTATTAGGCACATTGACCAAATAAACTCAAAAATTGTTTTCCAGCTTCAAATATACATAAAACTTGTTTGTTACTCATACTTTGTAGCTACTGGAACATTTTCAAGTCATGCATGAAATAACTGAGAAAGTATCCCTTCAAAATGGACAAAAGACAGCTCTGTTAGAATTCAAGGCAGAGATCACACTGCTCAGTTCAGAATAATAGAACTGTTATCTTTTCAGATTGAATTGCCTCTTTATTTTGTGGTGTTATGCCATTTTCAACCCATGCATAGAACATATTCTGTAGTTGTTTTGCTAAATCATATGAATTTTGCTAAAAATAAATTACATATTTATTATTATGCATAGATTAGCTACTAAAGTTATTCAAATTCATTTTCAGTGATGGATAAAGTTGCTATCTGCAGTTACTCAGTTATTACAGTAATTAGGTTCCTGTGTCATCAGATTAGGCAGGAATTCATTCTTCTGAACATTATATTCAACAAGATAATTTTTTAAAGATGTTCACTATTATTTTTAATCAAAAACCTCCATTTGGAAATTATTTTGCCTCCCTCTTTGCCTCCTTGCCAAGTATTTACACTGACAGAGGGGGAAGGACCACTGCAAATACCACACTTCATTGCTCCCCAAAACCTTCATCTGACCCTTCAATCACTCTCCAATATTCCTTGCATTAGAGACCTCCTACCAGAGGTCAAAATCAAAACATACTGTCTAATAATCAAAAAGTAGGCCTACAGAAAATTTCAAGTGAAGTGCTCAGAAAAAAGGGTAGGTTTTGGTTTTTGGTGGCTGCCTTTTCATTCACAGTAACTAATTTATTAGCAGATCACATAATAAAAATCTCTTCTGCTTTTGTTACATGTAGGGTTTTTGGACATATACTGAAACAGAATTTGAACAATTCATCAATATCCTCAATACTAATCAACTTCTGTAAACTTAAAGCCACAAAACATCTAGATACCACAATACTAAAACTGCTACAAGATAACAGGCATAAATAACAACAAAGATTAATGTTCCAAAATAACTAACTCACTCTTCTATGTACCACAGTTAATGTGTTTCTATCTCACATGCACAAAGCTGGAACATTCCAATCAAGCAGTCAGCCCCCTTTCTATACTTACCAAGATCTCAATTTCAGATTTAAAATTTAACAATTATCACCGTGTCAATTTTAGTTGTATTCACTACATTTTTTTCCAAATATAGTTGAACCTGAATGTACATAGCCTTAAACAAGATATTTCACATTCATTTGCAAGGCATTCATCACCTTAATGATTTAAAGTTTAGTCAGCTCTGTGTTCCCTATATTGACAGATTTAAAACAGTTCTGTCTCCTTTGTATTCTCTCTCCCCAACACAGTTTGCAGATCCATTCTCCACTCTTACTTGCCTCTTAGCCTCCTTCTCCCCCAACACTGTTGTAGTCTCCTTCCTCCTCACAACTCTTTTGCAGCTCCCTTCTTCCCGTACATCAATGTTGCATGCCCCTTCTCCCTGTCTATTCATCTTGCAATGTGCTTCACTCCCGCACCCACCTTGGTGTCCTTCACCATCCCCCACCAGACTTGCAATGTCCTTCACCCCCAGACCCAAGTTGCAATGTCCTTCAGCCCCACACCCACCCTGGTGTCCTTCACCCCCACACCTAAGTTGCAGTGTCCTTCAACCCCATACCCAACTTGCAATGTCCTTTACCCCCACACCCAAGTTGCAGCATCCTTCACCCCCACACCCACCTTGGTGTCCTTCACCCCACACCCAAGTTGCAGCCTCCATCTCCCTTCAGACAAATCTTGCAAACCCTTTCTCTCCACAGATACATCTTGCTGACACCAACTCTCCCCCACACACATCTTGCAGGCTGTTTTCTCCTCCATGCACATCTTGCAGACCTCTTTTCTACCCTTTATCAATTGTGCAGTCCCCTTTCCCTGCACACCTCATTGCATCCTCCTTGTCACCCCACATTTTTGTCCATTTCTCCCTGCACACCCAATTACAGCCTCCTATTTCTCCCACAACACTCTTTGAGCCCCTTCTTCTCTCACACCCATCTTGCAGCCACTTCCTCCCTTCTACCCACTTCCAGCAGCTTACACCAAGGATGACATTCCCAACTGGGATGGAACTCTCAGATCCAGTGAAAGGTGGCTCCCGATCCCAGCTTTAGCTGCAGGTGTCCCTCTGATCCCAGCCTGGGCTGAAGAAAGCAGTGAAGGACTTGCTAGGGTCCATCAGCTAGTTTTCTAACTGCCTGTTTTTCTCTATCCCTAGGTTATTTCTCTCCCATGGGAGAGAAACAGCCTGCAATTAGAATAGCAGTTCTACAACATTTCCTTACATTCAATTTACAGAGGTGACTTTTCTTTGACTGCTCATCCTTTTGGTGGATTTTCCTGGCTGATTTGGGACTTTTGGAGACAGATTTGCTCACTGCCTGTGTGTACATATGTACATACACATTTTGAGTATCCTCCCATACTGTCTGGGCAAAATATATCTTGCTAAACTGGAGAATTACAGAATTGATAAGTATTCTGTAAATGGATGGGGAATTCTTTGAAAGACCAGCATGCCTTGTCATCACTCAGTCTTAGTCTGTACAGTACTATGGGTGAGTAAACACATTGGAGCAAATATGCAGTCCAGCAATTGCTAAACAATTCATGCTTTTGTGGTATTTTAATATTGAATGGATGGGGAAAAAAAGGAAAAATATGAGCTAATTTTCATTGCAAATCCAGTATCTTAACATTCACGAGGGTAACATCTAGCATAAGGTCTGAGATGTGACATTGAGGTGATCTGCCACTGACACTCATAAAGTTTATAGGGTCAAGGAAAGGTTCCTTGTAAAGAAATTCTGCTTGCCCTTGATGATCTAAGCTGCTACAGTGGAGTTTACGTGAACTCAATACATTATTGAATAGTGAAGCATACTCATATGATCTACTCCTGCTCCTATTTCTTACATTTTTGTAACAGTTGTCAGGGATGTATAGCTGATCCAAACAGGTGTTACTCTACCAATGTAGACTCTAGTTTCCTCCTCTACGGTGATGAATGTATTTTGGGGGTCAGCAATGGCTCTTTCCTCAATCACCATGAAAATATTTCAGGGCAAAGGCCAGACCAGGTTTATTCAGGCCCTGGGCTAATTTCTGGACATTCTAGCAAACCACAGCTGCCAATTTTTAAGTCCAGTTGTGTTTTCTTAAAAAGTTGTTCATACTTCTAAATAATGATAGGCAGAAACAAAAACTTAAAATAAAAACTAGTTTTGAACTTTTTGAGAAAAATATGAAAGCAGATAGGCCAGGGAAAATTAAATCTTAAATAATTGGGGAGAAGGACTGAGGGTACATAAAGACTTGATGAGCAAAGATAGTTTTTAACTATTGCTATTAAATGGCATGTGTTTATTTTTGTAGAAATGTTATTGCTTTTCAGATAAAAGTACTTTTAACATTTGTAGAACTTCATTGTCTGTTATACTTGTGTTTTTGTTGATTTTGCAGTGGAAATTTTATCAGACTATAACCTTTAAAAATCTACTACTGAAAGTTGTTTGCTTATCCTTGTACTTTGGACTAGAACTGACTGCAAAACGTGAGTTGCACAGTATTTTACTTTCATATCAACATACCAGTGAGTTGGTTGTTGTATTTTTGCAGCACCTTACACATCCGAAGATGCCCCAAAGTGCTTCACATCTTCCCTCGGGATTGTAGTTTGCTGTTGAATGTAACGCTTCCAGGGTCTCCACGCTGACAAGAGTGTGACCACCCAAACCAGAAAGATTTAAAGATAATCAGACATCGAGATAACCCTTTCTGACTTCCCCATTAAGGTTTAAAATGTGAATTCAGATTCTCGCTAGAGAGCGCTGACTACCTTACTTCCTTCTATTTGCATCTCATACATAGTTCAAACCTGCCCCATTTTTGTGAAGTTTCCAGCACTCCTCTCCTTCCTCAATAAACTGTGATGGGGTCAATTCCTGAAACGAAAATCAGAGTAGCTACCTGGTAACAGTAGCTCACACTTGCTCATCCAGGGGCTCACCCAGCTCTGTTTTTATCCCCGCATGCCCTATGAACACCATCCCCCTCCATCCTTTGTTCATGTAAGTTGACATCAGCAAACCACCCATCTCACCAATCATCAGGCCTGCTCTTGGACTGACTTAAAAATACCACTTCAGACCTTCAGATTTTCACCTTGGAGCTCAGAGACACCCATGCATGCTTCTGCCAGGTCACTTGGTGCACAGGAGCACACACGCATCTCATGCATCTGCAAAGGATGGATCTCTTGGCTTGTAGCTTGATTCTTAATGCTCACTTACTTTGCACAGTGGTGTGCAATTCATTTTAGCGCAAAGTGAGATGCAGGCAGCTTGTAACAGGTCAAAGCACTGAACAGTTAAGTGGGTGGACATATTGTTGGATGGCACCATGCAACATCATGTTGCAGCATGTGCCAACAGCTTACATAGCAAACTCACTGCATGTGTTTCAATCAAATGGACATCACTGAAAGTCAAAGGGGACTGCTCCCTATTGGAGTCAAGGGGGTCTATGGTCAATCAAGGGTCTCCTCTGATTACATTGCAAGGATGGCCATGGTCAGTTCAGGTGTTTGGTCCTACCAGAGTCTGCATATCCATGTCTTTGCATTCCAGAGATTGGGCCACAGTCAGTTCTGCAGATCAGGTCAACCAGTGCAGGGATTACAGGTATGACAGTCAGGATGCTATGGAGATATCTGTCTGGGATGGTTAGTTGGGGATCTCCTCATAAGTCAATCCAAGGGTGGACCCTGTCAGTCCTGGAGCTTTGGACACTGAAGGGGCTTATCAGAGAGCACTCCACAGAGTCCTGGGCTAAGTGGAAGACTAAAA